CTCCACCCCCCCCCCCCACCCCCGAAAAATATATTCAAATTTATTTTAAAAAAATGAGAAACAAAGTATTGTGTATCCAAATTAAGTCTTCTTCCGGCCATCTACAGCAGTGGTTCCCAATCTTCTTAGTCTCACTCTTAAATATTTCTATGGAGAGGTGCCGCATTTACTGAGTATATTTTCGAGGACTTGGTAGCGCAAGTGTCAGGGGCGGGGGGGCCAGGTGGAAAAGGACCCCTGTCGTGGACTTCTGGACTTTCCAGCAAGTTTGTCGGGGAAAAATCAAATCTTGGGCGCCGTAATTATCCTTTTTAAATAAATAACCCCATAATTAACACATTTTATTATCTTTTAATAAAAAAAAAAATCCCCGACAGATCTAATTTTTTCCCCGACGGGGGAGGGGGTGTGCAGTTACGGATCTAAGATATAATTTATTCTTCCAATCCATTTAAGCTCCACAAACATAAACCTGTAGCTAACTGCCATACTAATGATTAATTTAATGTATATCAAAGGCTAGACATCTCTACTGTAGCACGCAACAACCCAACAAAATATCCACATCTTAAACCTGATGACCCTAGATTAAACTTAACAGATCGTCAAGTTATAGAACAACACACACACTTACTAGTCAGGAGGCATTTGTCATTATCTTGGCCTTACTTTAATTATTTAGCCAAGTTTGATTTTTCACTTTTATGTGATCAATGACACCACAACAAAAAATTTTCAGCTTATTGTCCAATTTTTAGATGCGTTTTTCACTCGTTGGGGGCGCTTTAAAAAAATGGCGGTTTGTGATATTGGTGCTTATATCTCGGCAACCACTGATGGTAGAAGTTTCTAAATGGTCTCAAAATGTTCACAATGTATATATTACTATTTGCGCTAATAGAACATTTTGCTGAAAAATGGCCGGAAATGCCATTTCTGGCGATTTGACCTTTGATCTTGTATGCTCATATCTCTGTAAATACTAGTCGTACAGACTTGAAAATTAATTTCAAATTGTTCGCAATATGTATATTTATATTTACTTTAATGAACATGTTTGTTCAGAAATGCCAGGAAACGTCATATTTGACCTTTGAAAATAATAAGTTTGCGTTTGTATATTCTATAACTGATAGATACTGTTTAAATTTTAAATAAATACTACATTTCTGTATGATTTATCGGAGGTCCAATGGTTATATTGTTTTATATCAAATCCAATGGTAATACTAAGTTTTGATATAAATTAAGGCCACTCATTGTCCACACACAAAATACAGGTTTGTGATTGGCTGAAAGTACATGCAGACTAGAATACAGGACATTTTCTCATGGTAAGTGTTTGTACTTCGAATACCACTTTTATTGGCAAATAATAATGATAATTACTAGTATAAATGGACTTTGTTCAATAATGTACCTATGGTGATATAAATGTAGTTTAGATAGCCATTTAATTACCAATATGAACATGCTGTGCCATTTACATCGATAGACCCTGACCATGCAATTGAACAAGAGCATAAAAAAATGAAAGTAAAAGGTGGTTTCGTTGGTATAACAGGAGGCAATAAACATGCTCTTGAGAAATATTTCATCATAGCTCCTTCATTAAGCAGAGCCGTCAGTGAGTTCAAAGAGTATTCTGGTATTAAATGCAGGCAACCATCTTCACTTCATCATGAGTTGAAAGGAAACAAAAGAACTAGTAGATGATATTAAGGAACTTTATTGACTGGATTGGTAAATGGCAACCTGATCATAAGATTGTTGGTCATACTACTTTTATAACTTTTAAACAATATTTCCTACCGAAGAAATTATTAATATAAATGTTATAACACTTTTATGACCAAAATACATTATCTAAGTAAAGTCAGTAAAGGATATACCCTAACCGGAACGCATTTTGTATCAACCGCCATTTTTTTAAAGCGCCCCCAACGAGTGAAAAACGCATCTACAAATTGGACAATAAGCTGAAAATTGTTCCTTGTGGTGTCATTGAACAAATAAAAATGAAAAATCAGACTTGGCTAAATAATTGAAGTAAAATACAAATGCTTCCTGACTATACTGAACAGGAGAGAATTAAAGTTTATGTCACTTTAGAATCCCATAGGGAAGCATTAGAGACTTTATAGAGTTAGCACATTTTGTATATTTGATTGTGATTTACAGTAAAACATATCAAGGAACTGCATAAAGTCTACTGAGTATAATTCGAGTTCTAACCTCTCTTGCAAGTCAACATAGACCCCGACACGACATTATTATTATTAAAGAGTTCATTGCAGTATCAAATGGTGTTATCTTTCTTTTTACAGAAACAACGCAAATGTTGCAAGTCGATTGGTTTGGAGACACGTTTCTTTTTATCGTTTCCATACGATATATATTTGGATCATGTTTATAAATGCTTCAATAAAATTTAGATTTAAAAATATGTAGGCTTATAGTTAATTTAGCGGATTAGGGGGGGGGGGGGGGGGGGGGGTCCGCGAAATAGGCCTATTTGTTTTCTTGACAGACGCTCGAATGTAACCTCTGAGGCGTTTTGGGCGATCAATTTTTCCCCCTTTTTTAACTTCCTAAAAGTGTGACGGGGGCTGAGGACGCCCTCGGCGTTGTGTAGGCTCGATCTTTCCCCCTCCACCTTGACATCTCTGGATCCGCCCCCGATGGATCCATATTTGCGATTTGGATTAGGATGATGTACTGTTGTCTTTGTAAATTCTAAAATGATGATAAGGATGAAATATCGTTTAAAGGTTTGCATGTTAAAGTAATGCTGACGGTACAAGGTATATAGGCCTAGTTCTGAAAAGTTTTTTTGAGAATTTCTCTTTTTTTTTTTATTGATAAATGAAATTACTAGCTGCGAAAACAAACATAAGAAATTCAGATATATTTGATTTAACAATTAAAATACCGCAACAAAACACAAAAGCCTATATTTAGGATCATTTAGAAATTGATAACATACGGTAATTGTACTGTCTTGATGTACACTTGACTTCACTACTGGGAACTGCATGAAAAAAACATTGTTTTTGAATAACCACATACTGTAAAATTATACTCAAACTATATAATTAAAATTTCTGAAACAATAACAATTGTAAAACTTAAATAATAATCATACT